AGACCCCAGCGGATCCTTCCGCAGCCGCCGTGCTAGACTCCAGAAAATTGCACCACCCTCTTCAAGGTGACGCCGTTCGCATTCTTTTAGCCGATATCGTCTACGAAATCGCGTTATCTACTCAAGACCCGACCAGTTCCACCGAGACCCAAGTGAAAATGAAATTCCAATTTAATTCACCCTACTATTTCCGCCTTTTGTATTCGATTTTGCGGCTAACCTCCTCGCCGGCGATGTTTCGGGCACCCGCTTCAACGCCACCCCCACTCGACCACGAATCCAATCCTGCTAACCTAACAGATAAGTGCCGAAAGGAGGTGACATGCGTGTTAATGCCGGTTTACCTCATTCTACGGCTGATCGTGCGGCAGTTGAGGACATCCCTCGTCCTCGAACGCCCTCTCGCATCGCATTCATCGAACCTTTCACAATCCGCGCTCGACGGCGCGCCCCAAAGCTCCACAACGATGAATCGCCAAAAGGAAACCCTCACCGACGCGAGGGCGTTTTTCGATTCGATCACTGGGGATGACGGCATTCAAATACCGAAAAGGTTCCTCTATTTGTGGGCATTTCAAAAGCTCCGGGACGTTTTAGAGGACTATCTCTTTGGTATGTTCAATGCGCACTCCGCAGAGTTCACCGCATCGCAGGATTCGAACAGCGAATCGACTCAACAATCGCCCCGCCCTCTATCCAATGCATCCCCCAAAGGCGTTTCGCCAACGCCTGACCTCGCCGCGGGTGAGGAGTTCACCCCCTATGAAATTATTGAGATCGCCATTATCCTGCACACCGAGAAAAAGAGGGCGCCCGACGTCCTCCCACACCCCACCGAAGCGCGAAGGGAATGCCCCCGGACCGTGTTTAATATGCGCATCATACGCAAGATTCTGGAAGAAATGCTGTCCAAGAGTCTTGCGCAGGTTCTTTTGAAGGATCTAATGCAGCTTTTATCGGATCTTTCCTACATTTTTGTCGATCTCAACAGTGAATTGGTCCTACCAAAGTGGGTTCCGGAGCGAATTATGCACGAAATTCGACGACAACTTCCGAACGCGTTGACCTTTGCCACCCCTTTCGGCATGGAGGGCCTTCCTCGGTTTTATGCGTGGGCTTTATTGCCATTTTCGCATCCTTTCACAAATTTAAGCGGTTCCGTGACGAATGACGTTTCGGAAAAGCTGGCGATTTCGCCCCCCCCCGAGGCCGAAACGCACCATCCCCCGGAATCAATCCCGGAAAGTGTGTTCAACCGCGATTCGATTCCCTTAAATTCCTCCACTTCCCCCACTATTCTGCAGGCAAACTCAGAGGCCGCTGAGGGGGGGCCACATCGCCATGCACCCACCCTCGCTGCCGACGCTCTGAAGGCCGCCTCGTCCGCCTTTGTGTACCAATCCATTGCCGAATGCACGACGTTGGGCTTGTTATCCTTCCGGATACGCCAACTCTTCATCATCTTTGATCTGCATGCCTTGCGGACGCCTCCTTCCCTTCTCGGCTCCTCCTCAGGGGAGGCGTCCGCGGTGGATCGGTATTTTCCCCTGCTTCGCGATGTGGCCCCCCAGAAGATTGAGGAGCTTTTTCATTCCAACCGACTCCACTATTTCACCTCGGCCAATTACGTCGAATTCATGCAGGACGTTTTGCAGATGGGCCTGAGAGCCATGGTGAGCCCGGGGCCGCCCAGTACGGCTCCAAAGACCCCGCCCGAGGCGACGATCCCCGAGACCCGTGATTCGATTGCGCAGAATCGAATTTCCACCCTCGTGGCCATCCTGCACGCGCTTCCCCCTCCTTTCTCCAACCTGATGTGGATCTCGCAGGGTTTGATCCCCTTCTCGAACCTGATCACCGCCTTGGAGACGATTGAGCTGTTTTTTTCCGCCGCCTCGGCGAACGCGCCCTTGGTGGGGTTGCCGAAACTTCAACAAAGGCTCATTCGGCACCTTGTGAGGATTATCCTGGACGTGTGCGAGGGTCAGATGGTCAAGCCCTCCCAGGTCGAATTGCTCACGATGGTTAAACTTCTCATGCGGATGGCGCCGGAGTGGGTGATGCCCGTCCTCGCCTCAACCTTCACGGTGCCCCTGCAGGACTCATCCTACTCGTGCGCTCGCAGCACCTCGCTAAAGCTGAAATGGGGCGAAACCCCCCAATCGTTTCTGACGTCCGGTTTTCAATCTATCTATCGGACCCAAGGCCGGGCAATCTCGCAGTTGTTGACGGAGATGCTGGGGATTCTGATTATCCTGGACGAGCTGAAAGCCGTCTCGGCCTTACGGCAGCCGGAGGGCCTCGCCAATCCGTTTCAAGGCCAACCCGGGAAAGGCTTGACTGCGGCGTCCTGGGCGGCCATCCTGTCGGATCCAACTGAAGCCCAAGCGGGGGATTTGGACTTTGCCCCGACCACGAGCTCCCCGAACGACGCGCGTCTCGACGAATCGGGGGAAGTCAGGGAGGCCCCCTCCTTGGGTTGGCGAAAGGCCGCGACTTCACGGCAAACGATGAACTCTGCCTTCCTGCAGGTGCTCAATCAGACAGTCCAGCTATTCCAAAAAGTCAAGCTGTTTTGGCTAGTCCGCCCTTCCCCCTATCGACGTGGCGAACCCATCTTCGACGCCAACTCTTTCAACGGCATAAGCGAGGCCGATAAAGCGAAACAGCGGGCGATCTTGATTCCAATTCTGACCTGCGTGCTGGAGCAGATGTCCATCCTGCAATTAGGCGTGCTGTGCACGGCAATGCGAACGTTCCTCCTGATCCTCCTCGAGGAGGAGATGGGGTGGAAGAAATTTTTAACCAACGTGGCGATCCCGACGGCGCACAACCGCCTGACCGCCTTCGACGACGAGACCGGCCAGCCCTTTACGGTTTCGATCCCCGCCCTCTGCCTCGAATCCCGGGCGGGTGAGGCGGCTTCGGCAGGCTGCGGTCGTCAAACGAACGCCTGCGATCCTTCGGAGGGCCCCTCCGGCGGG